TCTTGGAGCTGCCATTACCCCAAGTCTCCTTGGACTATTTTAATCGCCTCTATCTATCTTGTTTTCTTGCTTCCTGCCTTACCTTCAATAGCCTTTGCTCCACACAGAAGTCAAAGTCATCCCTTTGAAACATAAATCACATATCACACCACCACACAAAATCCTTGAAGAGCTTTCCATGCTACTCAGAGTAAAAGCCAAGCCCTCAGTATGGCCCACACGTCCTACATGAAGTTGCCCCAGCTCACCTCTCTAACCTCATCTCTTACCAGTCTAACCTGACAGCTCTGCTGTGTTTCCAGCATACCCAGCATGCCCCAGCTTGGGCACCTGCTCTTCACTAGGGCCGAAACTCTTCCTTCAGACAACTGCATGACTGGCTCTCTCACTTTCTTCAAGTCTCTGTTCAAATTCTGTCTTGATAGGTAAGACTTCCTGATCATGATCACTGTACCTAAAGTAGCATTTCTCTCCACCTCACCATCATCTTTCACTTCCCCATGCCTGTCATGCTTTTCTTCACTATATTTACTGCTACCTGATATTACGTACAGAGTTTACTGCGTATCTACCCTCACTAAACATCAGCTCCAAGTGGACAGGGACTTTGTTGTGTTCAACACCATAATTGTAGGGCCTAGAACAGGACCTGGCAGGTAGATGGTCCTCAATAAACATTAGTCAAATATACGAATGGAGTAAGTGCTGCTATTTGTAAGGCATATTCTCAACCCTTTCTATGTATTAACTCATTTAACTTTCATAGTACTCCATCAAGTACCTATTATCCCCATTTTACAGATGAGGAACTGAGGCACAGCGAATTAAAGCCCAAGTTACCAAAGCTAATAAGTTTGGGATCCAGGACTTGAATCCAGGTAGTGTCTGCAAAGCCTACTGAACTGTTGCTCAGGCTGTCACAGACTAGGTGGCTTAAACAACCAATATATTTTCTTCCTCACAGTTCTGGAACCTGAAAGTCCAAGATCAAAACGCTGCCAGAGTAGATTTCTGGTGAAGCCTCTCTTCTTGGCTTTTAGATGGCTGCCTTCTCCCTATATCCTCACATAGTTTTTGCCAGTGTATGCCCTCCTGGTGTTTCGTCCTCTTCCTATTGGATTCACCCACATGACCTCATTAAACATTAATTACCTCCTTAAGGGCCCATCTCCAAGTACAGTCACACTGGTGATTAGAGCTTCAACATACAAATTTTGAAAGGACACAATTCAATCTATAACACCCATAATTTATGTCTTTGAAATATAGCTATTTTAAACATCTTCCTTTTTTATTTTGAAGAATCAAGTTGGTTTTTTTGCTAGGTCTTTTTAGTTGAACAGAGGAGAAGAAACTTCCAGGACTCTGCCTGGGCCCAAAGATCACCTGGCAAGATCTACTGAAATGGCTACACTGAGGATTTTCAGAAACAACTTGTTCTCATAAAACACCAAATGATTGTGCCAAACATCTGTTAGTGTACTTCCATACACCGTGCATTAACGCGTTGCAGCTCCGGGAATTGTGTTTATTTGTAACTCCTCATACAAAACCAGCAGAAAACCATACTTCTTGTGAGTCCCTGATGGAAATCTGTTCCAGCCTCCTTGCTGCTCCTCAAACACACCACTCAGGCTCCCACCCCAGGGCCTTTGCGCTCCCCGATCTCATTATCTGTAGTGCTTTCCCTCCAGGTAGCTTCATGACTCATTGTTTCCCTTATTTAGATTTTTGCCCAGTGTCATCTCCATGAGGTCTTGCTGAAATAATCTATTTAAAATTGCAAACATACTTTCCTCCTGCACTTACCCTTACCTACTCTCTCTACTTAATTTTTCTCTGAGGCACTTTTTTTGGGGATTCTGGGGGAGGGGTCTAACTCTTCCCTCTAGAATGCAGGCAAGATGAAGGTGAGGATTTTTGTTTGTTTTCTTTACTGCTATTTCCACAGCTCCCAGATAGTGCTGGCCCACAGTAGACACTCATTGCTGAATGAATGAACTTCTCCAAGGTCACACAGCAGGTAAGTGGTAGAACTGGAGTTTGAACCCTATCATACACAAAAGTCTAAAATTTTAACTGTTAAGTTATACTGTCCATAGGAGCTAACAATTCTTAAGTACAAATCTGGTCAAAGGATTCCACTGCTCTTCTCTGACACAAACAAACAACAGACTGCAAATAGGAATGGAGAAAATGCCCATCTTCAAATAATCTCCACAGAAACAGAAATTAATATTCCTTACAAGCATAAATTGTAAAAATTCATTCTTTATAACACTATAGGCAACTGGCCATCTGTAAAAATTAAATATTTTGTTTCCAGGGCCAAAGACGTTTCAAAGGTGAACAACTGAGTCCAGATTCCATTTTTTGTTGGATAGATACAAAATTGATTGTAAGGTTTTTCCAAAAGATGTTAGAATTTTATCCCTAGCCTAAATAAGTGGTGTCATTTATTCATTCATTTACTTACTTGCCAAATATTTACTAACCACCTAATCTGACCAGGCATTGTTCCAGGCAATAAGTATACAGCAGTGAACAAAACAATTCTTCCATCTTTGAAAGGGGAAACAATAAAAACATAGCTAAAATTAAGAAAAGTATTAATGTCACAAAAAGTATTAGTTTTAATAATAATGGCCTTTGGAATTCATCCCTAAATAATTCAGAATATAATTTTATCATGGTGGCAAAGAGCTCAGACTCTGGAGTCAGAAGTTTGAACCCCATGAAGAGCTGTGCCCTTGACAAAGTAACTCCTCAAGTCGCAGTTTCATAACTTGGGAGAAACAGAACCCATCCCGCAAGGCTGATGTGAAGATTAAAAGAGAAAACGTGCAAGAAAACACTTAGTACACTGCAGACTAAATAATAAATATTAATTAATCCTACTGTCATGATTGGAACATGTAAGACAACCTAATTCTTTCATTGCATGAAGACAAAGTTAAAGCCATAGGAAAGTCTTGGGCTTTACATTTAAAGGTAGTTTCTTTTCTCTTGGGGGGAAGCTAAGCTACCATGAGTCATTCATTAATTCATTCAAGTAACAAATATTCATTGAGCTATGCATGCCAGGTATTTGACTAGTTACTGGGAATACATGTTTATAGGGAAGACATGGTCTCTGCCCGTTTGAAGTGTTAAGTTGCCACATTATCATAAATAGTGGATATTAGGAGAGCAAACTGAGGACATGCCTAACTTTCTCAACAATAACCTGAGACTGGAAAGAAACCAATATTTACCACGTCCTATTATAGGAGGCTCCTCTAGTGGAGCTTTGCATTCAGAGAATGCCCAGCGCATAAGGTTCACTCCCAAGGGCAAGGTTGGGAACAGCTGGAAGCAAAGTAGGAGAGAACCCAGGAGCCTGTTCGGGCCCTCTCGTCATGCTACTTCCAAAATATACTAGCCTTGGTTGGATCTAAGTTTCTTGAGGGTAAAAAAAAACAACCCCACAGCCTACCAAAGTTCATGGCACGTCCTAGCTACTTTATAAACAATTTTCAAATGAACTAGTAAATATTCCAGATCTTCGCTGCTACCACCCTAGGCCCCAACATAATCATCTCTTTCTTGTACTGTTGAAATGGGCTTCTAACGGGCCTCCCGGCTTCTGCCCCTCTAGTCTGTTCTGCAAATAACCATCAGAGTTATCTTTTCAAAGAGAACTCAGGCCACTATATTGACTAAATGGCTCCAACGTTTCCTATCAGCTTCAGACCCAATATGCTCCCCAGGCAGTCCGGCTCCTGCCTGCCTCCCACACCCGGCGCCGCTGGGCACCGAGGTCCAGCCTCCGCCGGAACCTGGGAACCCCTCCCAGGCTCCCCGCGCGCCGGCGCCCCCTGTCGCTCCCGGCCGCCTAGGTTAAAGCAGCCTCCTCCACTGCTGTCAAGGTGCCTGTTTCCATTTTCTTTCTTTTTTTAATTTTGTTTTATTGTTTAAAGTATTACAAATAGTAGTACATATGTCTCCTTTTTTTCCCCATTGGCCTTCTTTCTTGTTTTTTGAGGTAGGCCTGTAGGGCTATAAACTTCCCTCTCAGGACTGCTTTCATTGTGTCCCATAAGTTTTGGATTGTTGTGTTTTCATTGTCATTAGTTTCCAGGATGTTTTTAATTTCTTCTTTGATCTCATTGGTAACCCAATCAATATTGAATAACATGCTACTCAGCTTCCAGGTGTTTGAGTATTTTGGGTTGTTTTTATTGTAGTTTATTTCTAATATTATGGCAAATGTGTTCTGAGGAGATGCTTGGTATGATTTAATCTTCTTGAATTTGGGGAGACTTTTGCTTGTGACCCAATATGTGGTCTATTTTGAAATGTCCCATGTGCCACTTGAGAAGAACGTATATCCATGGCTTGGGGGAAATGTTCTGAAGATGTCAATTAAGTCCATCTGATC